TGGATGTCCCCCAGGTTCAGGCCAAGGCGCTGCCGCCGGCGCCGGGGAAGTCCTTTGTGACGGTGACAGCGCGGGTGGCCGCGGTGACGCTGGAGAAGGTCCTGCTGGTGTCCCTGCAGAGCGGCCACGTCTTCCTGCAGACCGACAAGCCCATCTACACCCCCGGGGCCACCGGTGAGCGCGGGGACATGGGGACACCGTGGGGACACCGTGGGGACACCTCAGGGAGGGTGACACTGTGGGGACATCGAGGGGAGGGTGACACTGTGGGGACACCACAGGCATAGGGACACCACCGGGGCCACCAGTGAGCACACGGGGACATCTGGAAACATCTGGGGACACCACGGGGACACCTGGGGATAGCTGGGGACACCTTTGGGGACAGCTGGACAGCTGGGGACACCTGGGGACACCTGGGACACCACAGGGAGGGTGACACTGTGGGGACATCAAGGGGAGGGTGACACTGTGGGGACATCACAGGCATAGGGACACCCCCGGGGCCACCGGTGAGCGCACGGGGACACCTGGGGACACCTGGGACACCACAGGGACACCACAGGGACACCACAGGGAGGGTGACACTGTGGGGACATTGAGGGGATGGGGACACTGGGGACACCACAGGGAGGGTGACATTGTGGGGACATTGAGGGGGTGGAGACATCACAGGCGTGAGGACACACACGTCCCCACATGTCCCCTCACCTTGTCCCCTGTGTCCCCTCCCAGTCCTCTGCCGCCTCTTCACCGTGGACCACCTCATGCAGCCGGTGGCCAAGACGGTCATCGTGGAGGTCAAGGTGAGCGCCGCCCTCGGGTGACACAGGGGTGACACACGGGCGGGTGACACGGTGCCACCGGCGCCACCGTCCCCACGCCGCGCGTGTCCCCTCAGACGCCCGACAACGTCATCATCAAACAAGTGCCGGTGTCGTCGCCGAAGAAAACCGGGATCCTGTCCCTCAACCACCACCTGCCCGAGGTCGTCAGGTGGGTGTCACCGTCCCCCCCGGTGGCTTGGGGACACCCCCGGCGCTGTCACCTCCCCGTCACCTCCCTGTCACCTCCCTGTCACCTCCTCCAGCTTGGGCATGTGGACGATCTCAGCCAAATTCGAGGATTCTCCGGATCAGGTTTTCAGCACCCAGTTCGAGGTCAAGGAATACGGTGGGTGTGGGGTGGGGTGGCCTTGGGGACATCGGGGACCGTCCCCAAGGGGCGGCGGTGTCACGGTGATGTCACCGGTGTCACCCCCGCAGTGCTGCCGAGCTTTGAGGTGGCCCTGGAGCCCAAGGAGAAGTTCCTGTACATCAACCGCCAGGAGGATTTCCAGGTGTCCATCGAGGCCAGGTGACCCCTAAAGTGTCCCCTTTTTGGGGACAGAAGTGTCCCCTCGGGGGTCACACCCGTGTCGGGGACAGGGGGGGTGGCACGAGGACAGGCGGGAAGGGGAGGGGGACACATGGTGACACGGTGGCATCAGTGGTGGTGGCAGGATGGGGACGTGGGGACATTGGTGGTGGTGGCAGGATGG